TTCCATCCGAGTCAGACCAATAAATTAATATAAAAATTCCTCACGCCCAGCCAATAAGTGAACATTGAAGCGTTTTATCGCCCCGGCCAGACTCGCAGGATGGCAAGGATAACGGGGGCCAGCAGTCGCAGGACCACGCAGCCCACGCTTAGTCGCCCACTTGAGATCGTGAGATGTCTGAGATGCCGGCACACTCCAGCCGTTTGCTTTGGACTTGGAACTGGGTGCTAGGAGCTGGGAGTTAGGAGCTAGGAGCTGGAAACTGGGGAACTTGGGAACCCGCACTCGAACTTGGAACCCCGGGAACTTGGCAACTCGGTCCTCGGAGGCCATTGTCGACCACTTGGCAAGACATTTGTGGTATGCGAAAATAGAACATGGCATAAAACGGGGCCAGCTACGACGGCCATTAAACATTTATGGCCAGGCGGAGGAAGCTATTGGTTATTTCATTGTCTGCAAATAAATGTAACAAGTCAAATACCTACGCACACCAATTTTTTTGTACAATGACTGGGGAAGATGGTTGTCTGAATTCGTTTGAATTTTGTTTACCTATACCTTTTAACTGTATTTATTTTTAGAGAATTCTCAACAATAAATACTTCTTGGTTACCTTTCTCTTTCCCAAGTGACTTTTAAATCGTTGCTGGCATCGATTAATTTGTAAAAGTTTAGCCGCCGTCGAGACCGAGTGAGTCTCTTAAATCTGAAGGCAGTGCATAAAAAAGTCAAGAAAGTTTTGCATGTGACCCCGTTGGAGGAAGCCAGCGAAAGGGGCAACTTTGTTAATGGTTTTGTCATAAATTTTAATTCGATTGCATCAGAGCAGACGCTGGGGCTGCCATTCAAACTGGGCATGAAAAATGCATTAGGCGATGCAGCCAGGAGTCGAGGAGCCAGCAGCAAAAGTTTTTGATGGTGCGGTTGGCCGCCAAGACAGGATTCCCCACACACACACACACACCACCAACACACACAAACACAGACAGAAACTGCACACACTTTCGCCTCGGAGAGCAGCCAAACCGCAGACACAGCCGTTGTTTGAAGACTCAATTAATTTATGCAGTGTGAAGTTAAGTTTTCGGCTCGCAGAAGCCTTAAAAATTGCATTCAAGAGAATACGGAGAATACGGCCGAAATGCCCTCAATTACAGCACACAAATGGATGGAGGAGGCGGCAGCGGGATGGAAGATCGACTCCGTTCGGCAGGAAATGCGTTCAATTAATGAATTTTAAATGCGTTCTCATTGTCACTTCCGCACGCAGCAGCAGCAGGCATCGCTTCACCTGCAGCCCACGGCGAACGGTGCGTATGCGTAACGCGTTATTTGCAAGTCAACCACCGAGCCAAGTCAGCGGGCGAGGCAAGCCGGGGCTGATGAAGGATAAAGGACACTACGGAGCCATTATCTCTGCCGTAAGGCATACTGCCACCGGGCATATCAACCGCCAGCCGAAAGTTACAGTGGATTTTTCGGTAATTATTATTTTTAAAAGTAAAAAATATATTGGGGAGCTCTGACAACTTAATGGTTTAAAGACTTGGTATATTTTTATATTTTTTACTTAAAAATCAGTAAACCTTTTTTTGGAGAGCAACAAAATCTCATAAAACGTATGAATCTTTTTACTAGGATAGAACTAGGATGGTTTGAATTTCCTTTAAATCTTTTTCTGAATTTGATATACATTTTATTGAATATATTTTTTAACAATAACTTTTCAATCAATAAATACATTTTGTCCCACTGTACTTGCTGGTGGGAGGCCGTGCGTGCATAGCCTGTAAAAGCCAGGCGCCCACATTAACTACAAGGATAATGTCGCCCGGCGTCCGCCCGCCGGCTGCGGCATGAAAAAATAACAAGAAAATGCCTGGCATCGTTCATTACGAGCCGAGGCTCCGGCTCGGGCTCAGCCCTTTGGCCAGGTGCGTGGATGAGGATGCGACAGGCAGGACAAGCAGGACGAGGCAGGAGCAGAAGGATAACAGGGGCCACAAGACGAGCGACAAGACAAGGCATCCCATCCGAAATGTTTTATTGTCGTAACTGTCGCCCGGCGGCATAATATATAGTCTGGGACATATCCTGGAGCGCGACTTCGCCGCTGACACAAATCACATGCAACCTTTGTGGAGCTGCCCCCCTTTCGCCTTCGGGAAAATTAAGTGGAACAGAAGGGGAGACGAACGGACATTTTTGGTGCTCGCGTACGTGCCCGCATTGGTCCTGTATTTGGACTTGAGTTCCAGGACACCAAATTACGTAAGCTTAAAGGGGGTTTTGGTGCTCTATCTTGCCGGTAAACCATCGCCCTTTGTCTGCGTTTGCCGTCTTCCGTTTGCGTTTTAACAAATGTTTTGTTAGCACCGCCGCTTCCAAGTTTTCCGCTTGCAAAAATTATGCGGAAACGGAAGCGACAAAAGGAAAACCACAATTGGAGGGGCGTCCTGTATGTGAGTGTGTGTGTGTGTGTGTGGTATGTATTCAAGTGTTGTTTGAGTGGCACGTGTCCTGCACAGCCACCCACACACACACACGCACAATCTATATATCCACCTGGACCCACTTTGTCATCAGCCCGAATTAGGACTATTCAATTTTCATTATTAAATAATGCCCAGGCATTGATGCGTACGTGCGGCTCGACAAAATTAAATGCACATCGGAATTTATGGCGCCCGGACGAGATGACAAATAGTGAGTGGCTGATCCCGAGAAGACACAAGGTAAAACTGTAATTAAATTTGTCCAAAATTCGGATGCACATCCTGTTGGCTAAGCAAAGGAGCCGAGCCATAAATCTGGGCACATAAAATCCAGGCCCAAGCCAAACTCACAGCGATAAATCACAACGAAATTCACATAATTTTTATCGGTTTGCACAATTTTGCATGGGCACATACGAGAGAATGCGAAGGTTGGGGGAACTCCACCCACGCTCGAATCGGTTTTCAAGTTAAACGTTTCAATAAAGTCGAGCACCTGTCAATAAATCGAAATTGCCTCTCGTATTATTTTTATCGGCTACGTTTCGTTTACATTGCACAAGATGCTTCACTTTCAGCACAGCCAGCGGCCACGCCTGATGTATATATCCCTGTATATATATATATATATATATATATATATATATATCTATACTCGTATATATCTAAACCACAGACATGAGACTGTATGTAGGTCGGGAAAGCGGAAAAGCGACCTTAGCTATCTCTCACCGCCTCGTCATCGCCATCATTTTCTTCCAGTTGAGCGGATCCTGCGGGTGCCGTCCTCCTTCTCCGCATTCAATCCAATCCCTCTTGTGGTTTTCACTCCCGGCTCTTTGGACTCGAAACTTCTCTTATTTTTTTGGATGGTCGAGCTCGCTTTTAATTCAGTTTTTGGCAATCGAATTGTGGACAGTTTTCATGGCTTTAATTGCGAGGCCGCCTTTGAAGTTGCGCCATTCGATGGCTTTAATTTTAATCCACTTGTGCTTAAAAGCGCCCGAGCTCAATTTTTACGACCGCCTGCCTTATGAAAATTTAATAAGCCGGCAGCGAGGAGAGTGCGCATAATGAGAGTGGCAGCCTGGGCCTGGAAAATCGGGACATGCCAGGACAGACGCCACATCACATCCGAATCTGACTCCTCGGATAAACCGACCGCCCGCCCACATATGTCATGTAAAAAGATTGTTTAACAAGATGGGCCAAGGCGGAGGAAGCTTAAAAATGAAATGCGTTACTCGTTTTCACATGGCTGCCATCGGAGGGGTCACAGTGGACTCAAAACTTGGCAATCTAATTAAATTTCGCTTCAAGAATTCAAAGAACGATAAGTATAATTGAAAAAATCAATTTTCCAACATTTATTGATTATAGGCAAGTAAATAAAATCAGATAGTTTCAGAATGATCTACACTAACAAAATGCAGTTACTAAACTTAATTTTTATGTAATCTGAATAATTTGTAAGATAATTGCTGACTTTAATTTCCTGGCTAAAACTTGAGATAAAAACCCTTAAAAGGCTCCCCACATTTTGGCCCACTGTCTTCATTTCGTCCTTGTGTAAGACGTTGCTCTCGTTGTGCAGAGCCAACAAACAAGCGAAATATTATTTACGAGCTGTCAAATCCCAGTTAACATGCCGTACACAAGGACCAAGGACGTCTTCGCTGTATTTGTGTAGTTGTTTGCTCGATGCGGCCGCATAGTTCGCTAAGAGACAGCTGAAGATGCGCTGCCGCAGTTACAGATACAGATTAACAGCCACGGTACCAGCACACAGATACATTTTCACACACACAGATACTGACACAGATACAGATACAGATACAGGGGAACTGTGCACTGCTCTTACGGCATTCAGAAAGTGTGCCAGGATGTCTGGCCGCAGTCAAACGCCGGATCCTTGGAGCGGACTCGAGCGGAGCGGCATAATAAAATAAAAAAGCATAAATGAAAGCGAGGCCGGGCCACGAAAATAATTTAAATTTATGTACTTGTGCGTATTTATTTGTGCGTTTGGCTTTTATTTCCTCCGCGACGTCTCCTTGATTTGTTTTTCTCGCTCCCACACTCGTCCTTTTCGCCGCTGCCTCCTCTCCCTTTTTCTCTTCCGCTGAGCAACAGCAGAAAGCATTAAATTCAATTTGCTTATGTGAGTATCTGTGTGTCTGCCACTCAGCGTCAGTTACAGCAAACGAGGAGGAAGGGGGAGGGGGAGGGGTGGGAGGCCAAAGGACGAAGGACCAAAGGAGGGACAAGGCCATGCCAATGGCGGCGACCTGTTGTGTTGTTTAAGGAATTACTTAACATGGTAAAAGCATGTGCATGTGTGTGTGAGTACTGCTTATGCATGTATGTGCTTAATAAATATTTCGGTGCGTCCTTTTTTGATTATATACTGGAACAGTTACGAATGGGAAGCACAATTAAGACGGGCATTTAAGCTTGGAGATCCAAGAAATTTTTCAAGAAATAAAATAACTTTTTAAGATCTTTTATTGCAACTTCATAGAAACTTTATTAATATTTATCTAAAATTTGTAAAAATTGTACAATTGGCTATTTTTTCTTGTCCTTTTCATCCTTGCCCTTGGCTTCTTCAGCTTTCTTGACATCTTTTCCCTTTTTGTCATCTCCGGCTTTTACCTCTTTATCACCACCTTTGCTTTCTTTTCATCTTTACCCTTCACATCATTATCCTTGCCTTTTGATTTAGGGTCCATTTTTTTCGCGGCCTCAGAAGCTTTCTTTTGCTCTACCATTTGTTTATATTCGGGTCTTTCAAAAATGTAGTTTTAAATAAACTTAAAATATATAAAAAATAAATCAACTTACAACTCACAAATCGAAGTGGGATCAATATCTATATCAGGCAACACAAATTTGGGAAACTGGAGCATATCGATGCCCTCACCGCCTCCATACTTAAGAGCCAGGCGATCGATGGTTTCTTTAAGTTCCGCCTCGTATTCCGGACCAACATCTACGGGCTTTCCAGTAGGACTCTTAAGTTTGTACTCACGAACCTTGTCCAAAAAAATAGGATAAATGGGATCCTTGTAACGCAAACCAGTCGAAGTGGCAATGCTCCTCCGTAAATATAAACAGGGTCTTAAGACTCGGGAAAACATTTTTGTTTGATTTTAAGTCTCCGTCAGTTCGATATTGTTTCGATTCTAATAAATAAAGTTTTGTGCTGACTATCGCTGCGGTAAGTTGATCGTATATATAAATTTCTGATATCTTAAATACGAATTGTATTTATTTATCAATTATTAAGTAAAGAAGTCCCGTTCCCCAATTATTTTTAATTACTGATAACTGAACGGAACCTTAAACATTTAAAACTTTAAATTCAGTATCTGCCTCGTTCATCAAGCCCCAATTTCGGCTATCGCATCTCAAGTGCTCCTCCTTTGCAGGACGAATTTTTCACGCGCCGTTGCTGCCCATTCTCTTGTATTCCCGAGCGTGTAAGATTTTCTTTCTTCTGTCTGTCTGTCTGTCTCGCCTTATCTCCGCTGGATGTCTGTGTGTGAGTGGGCTTGACAATGCGTGTGCCATCTCGACAAGTTTTTCTCAAAAAGTGAGACAAGTGGAAATCCGTTAAAGAAATACGTGAAACACATAAAGGCGATGATGTTGCTGCTGCTGCTGTTGCTGTTGCTGTTGTTGCTGCCACTGATGTGCACGGCAGCAACATAAATATATTCGCGTGTGTGGACAAAGAAATGTCGTCGGCAGCAAATAAAAATTAATTGAAAAATGTTTATCAAGGACTTTGCATGGGTAAAAATTTAAATGCACAGAGGCCAGGAGAAAGGAGAACTCTGATAATTGATGGGAAGACATGGCTGTGGAAATTATAATTAATATAAATTTTCATCACCCACCCCTGCTGGCAGTGGCAAATAAATGGATCATTGTCGGGTGCGAAATGAGGAATGCGCAGCTTCTAAGCCGAGCTTAATCGGCCATCGCCACATGCGGCTCATTTCAAATGCAGCCAGCACTCACGCTGCGCCTCCCATCCGCCGTCAGAATTAAAATATTCGTATATATATAGCATATATTTTGTGCAAAATATCCACGCTGAACTAAAAATTATGCAAGGCATTAAAAATTTAACAAGCGCTTATCCGCTTAGTGCAACGCCCACAACACGAGCGGGGTTTTCCCCGCTGCGCCAACGTCACTTTCAATATTTAAATTTTGACATTTTGTGCATTTGACGCGGCTACAAACAAGGGGGAAAGAGTGTCGCGGGTCATGGACAATATTGCATCAATGCAAATTGGGCAGAAATAATATGCAAACATTGGCACAAACAGAATGCCAACCTAATTGGCAGCACTAACAAAGTTGCCGTGCATTAGCTACTGCCAAGCGGAGGCAATTCGGAATTACGTGTTTGGAATTGGCCAAGATCCTAATGCAAACGGAAATTTCAATTTTACTTCAAATGAGTTTTTTCAGCCTTATAACTTGTGTAGCATTTCTAGTTCTATTTCATATATTTGGTTTTTTATATTATAGAGTATTTCGAAACCTATCAACATTTGTTCAGTGAATTAAAAAGTTTATTTTTTGCGGGTAACAAGAAATTGTGGAAGTGTTATTGCTTGCATGTGGAGTATTTCAGGGATCTTTTGTCCGCACCGAACGCATGTATCTCAATCTTCATTGCGACTACAGCTGAGGATTAAGCAGTTGTGCGGCGGCAACGCCCCCGCCATTAAAGTAGTTTCCCCTAACTTGGTTAGAATTAATATTTAGCTGAGCGCAACTTTATTTGCAGTTGGCAAATGCTTTAACCTCCCCCCGCCGTCGACAACAAAGTGAGCAAAGTATCCTGCGGTTCCCGTTGCTGCTTCAATTTCTATCTGTGTATCTGTATCTGTGTATCTGTGGGTGTGTGCGGCTTTGTGTGCGTGTTTTAAAATGCAACAGATGCGCCAAATTAATGCGACCATTAAATTGTATTAGCGTGTGCAAAATGTAAAGCGCATTTGCCAGCAGATTGCTCCAGCCAAGTGCGAGTGTATCCGAGGCTGGGAGTCCTGATACTCCTGCCAGTCCTGCCAGTCCTGGTAGTCCTTGCAGTCCTGGGGGAGTGCAAATGCATCCTGCTATCGCCGCACTGGCTGTGCGTTGTACTCGCTGCGAATTTGTGTGTGAATAAACATGAGAGTCGTTGCATTAATGCGCATACAAAAGCCAACAGCGCCGAGTCCTTGCCAGCGTAACAGCTATCCCTGCGTAAAAACAAGGATTTAAATATCCCAAAGGGCATGATGGAGGGGGAGGGCTTTGCCGGGGATAGAGAGCTGCTCAATGCTAAAATATCGCACAGCAGCAGCGGCGTCAAGTTTATGTGGCATGCCACAAAGTACACAGATACACACAACTACAGCGAACGGAAAACAGAACTGCATTTGCCGCCCGCCTTTCGCCTCTGTTTGCGCTTTTCGCTGCGCTCTCATAAGTGCAACTTCAACGCCAACAACGCGGCAGCAAATAAAAATGATAAATACATTTTTAAATAGAGGATAAATAGAAAGGGTTAAATTAAATTTTAGTGTAGTAAACTTAATTGCAATAATGGGAACACATATGCTGTGTTGAAAGCCTAAAAAGTTTTTCATTTTTTCCATTACTTTTAGCTTGCTTTTAAACTGACGAAGTACCATGGTCCTTTTACACAGGAAATAATATTTGAATTGATCATCAAATAAAATAGTTTTTTTGAATGTAGTTATTTTATTTCTGTAGTAAAAGGGTTATAGATCTAAAGATATTGTTTTGTTTTCCTTGAATGGAATTGTTTATTAAATTTCACTTATTTTCTTGAGTGCAGCTCAAAGGACGGCAACTATCAGGCGAACGGAAGTAGTGTGCCAGTTGCAGATATTTATTCATTAGCCATTTGGCATAATTTGTTGCCTGGCTTTGGGCGCTGCTTGCCGCTTGTTTCGTGTTGCAATATTTGCAGTAACAATGGAAGAACTTCGATTGGAAATGGGGTGGTGTGTGGGTGGGTTGGCTGTTGCCACTAATAGGCTTCTAATTGGGCAGTCGCCGCCTTTTTGTTTGCCCTCTTTTTTCCGCCATTATTCGCCGTTTCGGTATTCCAATTAAAATGCATCTGGTGGTGATGTATCTGCACCCCCGCCGCCGGCAGTTGCAAGTAATTTTAGCCACATATTGCCGAAGTGCCGCAAATAGAAGCAGCCGTGATGGAGTTGCCCTTAAGCTGCACGCAGAGCTCATTAGAGCGAACCGAATCTGTGCTTAGTGGGGGGAGTGCAATTGGGTGGTCTGCTCGGTCTGCTCGGCAATGGGATCGGTGGTATGGGGCATTAGATCCATTAACAGTCTGTACCTGCTTGATTATACATTTCGGCCTGCCCGCAGGAAGCTGCAGCTGCAGCTGGCATTGATTTGGATTTCAGCTGGCTGATGCGATTAAACAAAACTCGCTAGTGGGGATTACCTTACTGATTCGGCGGTGAAAGAAACAAGTTTTTATCCAATACATGCATTTTAAGAAATTTATGAAAGTTACTCATATTTTAATGGATTCCTTTTTAACATTTGTCATCTAACATTATTTTGTATTCTAAACATAAACATTGTGGAATGATTTTTTGAACCATTTGTTACTAAGTTGAATCCTTTTAAAAGTTAGACTGTAAATACGCAATGTTTAAAGTTTTATAATTTTTTTAAATATTTTGGAACATTAAATCGCATTTTTTGGGCATATAGCTGTACCATTTTTGAACATCACCCTATTTTAATGTGGATATTTTTCCCGTGCACTGAATTTTCTCTTCGGAATCGGGCCGTGTTTATGCCCCACGCCTGTTGCGGTCGTAATTATATTAATGAACACATGCCCTGCTCACACCCAGAGCCACAGCCATGCACATATCCAATTCCACACCCACAGCCATGCAGGCGGATTGTATCTCACGGATGCCGAGATGCGGCGGACAAAGCACTGTGCATATATTTGCATAGGAATATTAATGCCATAATTATTTGCCACATGGACACAATGCACAAGATGTATGCAATATTTAGCATGTCAGTTAGTGCCTGCGTGTGGGTGTCCATCTGTGAGTCCACTTTTGCGGCGAGCGTCGTAATTCCAATTGCATTTCGGCCATTCAAGCAGTTCGGCCGACGGTTGCGAAACGCCAACTGCAGCATTGTTGCTGCTGTTTTGGGGTTTTGCGTTATGTCGACGCACAGAGCCACGCACTAATGCATAATGTAACTCAATTAATTTGGCCTGGCTATTATTTCAAGTAAATATCCAGCTCCGGAGAAGAATTCCTGCCGCAGTCATCCAGTCAACCTGTCAATTTTCTCCGCCTCCTTTCACTCTGCTCTGCAAGCCGAAAACAATTTTCCTTATCTCGGCCATTGGCAACATTGGGTTTTCGGCCAGTGACTAGTGAACTTGTCATTATATATTTATTAATCTGTAATTTCTGCTAATTATGGAGTTGATCAAACATTTACGTCTTGAGGACGGGTTATTGTTTTGCTTTCAATTTATGCACTTGCTTAAAGGGACAAATTGAGTGGGTTCGAAAACACACAGTTTATGTTAAGAAAGTAAATATATTTTGAAATAATGTAAGTAATATAAAGTGAGTAATTTAATGTAATTTAGTTTCGAATATAGTTAATAAATTTAAGCATTAAATTAAAATGTATCATAACACAGATTGATTTGATAAAATGGGATTTCCATACTTAGATAAAGCCCTTGGACTGGAGCATCCTGTACCACTTACACCATCGATATGGACAACCAATTAACATGATCTGGATACTGGGGTTGGAATTAAGTAGCGACTCCGTAACCCATTTAGCTGGTATCCCATTAAGACCATACTAGTACCGCTCTAGAAACTCCCCCTCGATCAGCAGCCACTTCTGCGGGATAAATTCCATTGTTCTCGGTTTAAGCGGCAGTATTGAACCTTGAACCCAATACCCTTCAGCATCCCCTGGAAAAGGAGGAAAGGTTCGAGGGAAGGAGGCATCAGGCCATGAAATAAACAAGTCCACCATCTCGCATCCGCATCAGTGGCAATGTGGCAGCGGACTCAAAGGGAGCGAATCCGAGGTGGTGCATAATGAATGGAATGCATTTGCAGCGGTGGTTGAAGTGTGGGCGGCGGTGGTG